ATAAATTAAATATTAACTACTAAGATGTGAATGATCCATTGTATTATCTACTTTCATAACAAAGTAGTCGCTATTCGATTTAAATCAAATACAATATAGTCTTCGATAGCAAAATAAAAGACTCTTTTGAAAACACTTGTTTAATTTTGTGTAGAAATAAAAAATAAAAAGAAAGTGTTTCCAAACAACTAAATCACTTGTATTTATGGTGATTAATAACAGATAAGTTCTTTGCTTAGAAATCGCAATAAATTCTTTTTCCAGATAGTGTAATGATTCTTCAAATTAAAACCATGATTTTTGAATGAAAAGACATAAATACATCAGCTCCTTAAGCAAACATCAGTTAAGGTTTCAAGACTCAACATGATGTGTTTGTTCAATATAGTTCTTTTACAATTTCTTGTCAACTTTTCAACTAGATGTTATGAACATCCATTCCACACTTCAACTTGAACTGCAAAACGAAGTTTCAAAAGATATATTTTCAAACTTTTATTCGTTATAATTTTAATCCTTTTATTAACAAAATCTTCACTTTGATCCCAAATTCTTTTAGTATTATAATCTAATCCTTGAATTCAACCTTTTTTTTTTTATACAATGGATTCAGCATCTATCATTTTCAAAATCAGAGGATTTCAATCCCAGAACATGTTACACGAGTTCGATGCTTTAATGTTACTTGATTCAAATCCGGACAAAACAAATTCCAAAAGCTTTCATAAACAAATGTTAATGTCAATAAATATCTATAAAGTCATTGAAGTCATCGAATATCGCGTCTCCTTTTTTTAATTTTATCATAAAGCTTTTGTTTTTTTTAATGATGCCGATCTGTTTTTTAGTGAAATAATATAACAATCTAATTATTACATATGACAGTATGGCAGACTGCACGCATGTATTTGGTCAGAGGAATTCCAAATAAAGGAGAAAAAACATTATTCTAAAAATCAAGAATGGACTTTTTAAAAAAACACGTGAGCTATCAAATCATATAAATCAATATGGGAGTTGTTGATGGGTAGCTCTAATCTGATAACTTATAAATTTCTTGTCATCTACTTCTTTTTTTTTTTTTTTTTTTGTAAAATAGCATTCCTTGGATTAATCATGGAGAGCATGCATACAATATTCCAACTCATGACCCTGAATCCGATTGCTCAAGAAATACGAGGTTTAAATTTATTTGAAATTTTCGAAGTTAAGTTTCGTTAGGTTTAAGTCTATTCAAACTTTGCATATTTAAGATTATAGTTAATTTAATTAACATCAATTTAAGATTTGATGTGATACAGTTTCTTAATTTCAAATTTTCACTTCACTTGTAGATTCAAATATTATATTTTTTTTTTCTATATAAATTTACAATGAATTGATTAAGCTATTTAACTCAACATATATAATAGTACTATATAGAATATTGTTAAATGTAAGAAATAAGAATATTGACATAAATTATTAGATTAATTAGTGAGATCCAATCTTTAAGGATATATAATCTAATGACTCATAATGTTTTTACAATATTTTTTTATTTATACGTATAGAATGTTGATTTTTCTTCTTTAAAAAAAACAAAATAGCATTGTTTACTAAAAAATTAGTAGAATAACATAGTTTGATACATGCACGGTTCTTAAACATAACTTTCAAAGATATTGTGCTTAAAAAACAAAATATTTAAAGATATCGCAATTAAAAAATATAATAACTTAAGATATCATGTTTTCAAACCATAGCATCTTACCAAATAAAAAATTATATCTTTTTTTTTTTTTAAGAACAGTAGCCCTTCACACCCTCTCTTCCACCATTTCTGATTGTCTACAACTTAAAAATCATTACTAATCAACCATTTACCGTCGTGTCACATCCAAGAAAACTTCTTTCTTTGTTTTTTTTGGTCTCCAAGCCTCATTACAATAATTTTTTAACCAAAAATTGATGCCTCCTATAGACCCCCCTTGATAAATCTATGTGAATATACTATATTACTCTTAATTTTGTGGGTTTCATGGTTAGTTTGTGATTGTTTGAGTTTTGATTGGATTGTTGTTATGGGTTGAGTTTGATATATTACCGTCTATTGATTTGAAATAAATCCTAATTTAATTAATATAATTAGATATAATTGCATGCAATTGATGATGTAAATAACATCAATTAAGTATAAATTAAATCAATTAGGGTTTATATTGAATTTTGTTATTAGTAATTGTAATTGAGGATTTTGTTTCAATTGTGTAAATTATCTATGAATTGATGCAATTAGGATTGATTTTATGCAATTAAGGTTAAAAATATTATCAATTATATAGAAATTATATCAATTAGGCTTTGCGTTGATTTTTGGAATTAATTGGCATAATTGGATATCTTGTTTTAATTATGATAAATTAACTATAAATTGATATAATTATTATTGATTTCATGCAACAGTGAATGAAAATAACATCATTAAAGTAGAAATTAGATCAATTAGATTTTATATTGAATTTTAGAACTAATTTTTGTAAATTATCTTGTTCGAATTGTGACAAGTTAGCTATGAATTGGCACAATTATGATTTATTTAATTCAATTAAGCATGAAAATAAGATCAATTAGGGACAAACTAGATTAATTAAACTTCACATTGAGTTTTGGAATTAATTTTTGTATTTGAGTATCTTATTTTAATTGTGATAAATCAGCTATAAATTGATGCAATTATGATTGATTTCATACAATTTTATTGAAATTATGTTGAATTGATTGAAATAGTTTCTTTTATATATATATAATACCTTATAAAATATTTATATCATGTCATAGTGGTGGTACTATTATTCTCCATACAAACAATAGTATCACTCACAATAACAAAAAAGTAATATATTGTTGAATGCTAATTTATGTGTGTCACTAATGGATATTAAATAAGTTATATGTCATGGACGCGAGCGGAATTATATTGATGTTAAAGTTGATATTACTTAAAGATGTCATGTTGGGAACATCAATATTATTCTATATCAATTTCAATTGATGTGAGTTTCAGGACTATAATTGAATTAACCATGTAAAGCAAATTAAATATGGTGGAATTGTTTGTGGGTTGTCGACCTAAACAAATCATCACACCATTCCTAAAGCCACCTTCAAACTTATATATCACTATAAAAAGCATGGATGAATGAGATCTTTACGAAGATGCATCCTATACTTCTAGAGGACCACTTGGTCTGGCAATGGGGTATAACGTGTTGAATCATCAAACCAAACCTAGGGCATATTTCTTTACAGAAGGATAAGGAATACGAGCCACATGTATAACAACTTCAAAATACTGTATGTATTTGTTTTTTTTTTTCACAATTAATGTATGATAAATGATGAGTTTTATTTGTGGTTTAATATGTGTATTTGCTAAATATTTGGTTGGCTTATTATTATAAGAGATCTAGAAATCATCGTTGATCTTCATGATCTCCATGATGACGACATATAATATTATTATGCATCTTATTGGTTTACTGTTTGCCATAAAATAACTCAAAACTTTGAAAAACTTTAGAGTTTTTATGATATCATAGTTAAATGTGAGGCTATTTAAATAAGAAGATAATGTTATTAATGAAGCTTACTTATCCACCGAGTAAGGTGACTATATATAAACTTACTTATATGTTTTTAGTTAATTATGTTATGTTATTTTGCTAATAATGAGTTTGTATTTTATTTTACATCTAGTTTAGTATATTTGTATAATTTTTTTATTTGGTGAGGTTGGGATTTGAATGTTTAAATATTTGAATTTATTTTGGAGTAGTATAATTTCAAATTAAAATTTTATAGATGTACATGTGAACAAAGACAACAAGTTTGAGTGCAGTTGAAATATTAATATTGTTGTAGGGTTTTCTATTTTTTAAATTATTAATATTGATTATTTTTATTTTTTATATTTTAATTATTTAGAATTTCAATTCAGGTGAAGTCAACATTGATAGAATTCAAGCATTTACAGGAGAAGTCAACATTGATATATTGAGTTACTATCAAAACCATTTACTGTTATACAAGCAACAATAGACCAACTTATATAAATGTGCCGAAAACCAAAGAAAATAAAGATTAGTTAAAAATGGAAAAAAAAAATGTTTTTTTATGCAATTCACGCTATATCTAAAAGAAATTTTATTTTAGATTTTATTTTATTTTTTTATTTTAAAGATAGAGTGAATGTGACAACCCACAACAGGCCATAACACATTGTCCTAAGAAAAAAAAGTTTATTAATACATATATACATATTAAAATAAACATTCATGATTATATACATATCAACAATAAAAATTAAATACCATTCACTTCAAATGAAGATTATGGCAGTGGATATAAGGTGGAGATTATGGTAAATATGCAGTATTGGTGATTTTGTAAAAGAAAAAAAAATGAGTTCGGATTTTTTTTATATATAAAAAAAACTTATAATGTCCTATGATTGCTCTATGAAACAAGAAATTTTATAATGATTATGAAGTAATTGATAATATTATATTAGTTATTAGCAGGGTTTATTTTGAAAAAAATAAATATAAATAAAAAAGAGAAATTTTAAATAAAAATATTTTTATCATTTTTTATGAATCATTAATTTTATTATGTTTTCTTTTTTATATCTATCTTTTTATTCAAAATATAAATAATAAAATACAACTAATTACTACTCGACGTTGGAAAATTTTCCCCTTGAAACGCAGTTACCTGTTTTGATCTTTCAACTAATTTGTATTAATGCAGATCGATGTCAAGCAACCTTGCTTCTCAGAGCACTTCCCTTTAAAAAAAAAAAAAAAGTCTTTTAGAAATTGGGCCTCTGTGCCCAAAGGACAAGTTCCAATCCATCTCTCCATTTGTGGAACTATCAGTAGTGTACACATGTAATTTGAAGACTGGCCCACAAGATTCCTTCAGCTGTGGAACTATCAGTAGTTTGAAGACTGGCCCACAAGATTCCTTCAGGTATAATCCAGCCCAAGATATTAACAGCCCAGCTTCATTTCTGTTTGATTTGATTGCCCAGAGGGCTGAGCCTGAGAATGAAGTAGAAACTGAAAATCAGAGAAGAATATATTGCAAGTTGAAGTGATATTGTCCACCATTGATGCAAGTTGCTCCTTAGTCGACCATTGATGCTGGGCTAGTGTGATTTGATAAGATCTATTCTGCTGGAGTGATCGTTGATCATTGAATATACATGTCTGCTGGAGGGGCTAGCCAGCGGCATCCTGGACACTGTTGTCGTGTTCACTTCCTTCTCGTTAAGAATGTAAAGTTTTCCTTTCTATCTCTCACTTAACTCTTTCCTTTTTCGCTCGAAGATTAGATAAGATCTACATTTTACTCTTTGGCTTTGATTGAATTACTTATAACTGATTTTTATTTTGGGATTTGTATATGGTGTTTTTCTTTTTATGGAAAATTGTTGGGCAACAAAGGAAAGGGGGAAATATGATGAATCTAACTTCATTGCTTATATTCTTAGGGAATTTTTTTTTTTCACTGTAATCAAATCTGATCATCAGCATTATTATGACCAGAGTGCATAAATCTTAATAAACTTCTTTTCGTCTTTGAGCAATAGAAAAGCAGTCTTTTCGAATAGATCCATCAGATGGAAGTGTGCTTGTGCGTATAAAGCACTTGTAAAATTTTCAATCTGGATACAGTGAGATTAGGCAGGTGGCAGTACAAGAATCTTCCAAGTCTCACTTTCACCCCTTCAAGGCTTCAATCAAATCTAGTGTTTCTTACAACTATCCTGCCGTGCTAATGCTGTTTTCATTTTTCAGATTTCACTTTTCTTTTAAAGTGTTAAAAAGGAGTTGATAGTCCTGCTCACAGTAATGGCGAAGCGTGGAGCCAAATTGAAGGCCGGGCTTGGACTTCAAAACTGCCGGGTGCCTGTTGCGGTTACGTGTCTGGTTGTGATACTTGTATTGTTAATATTGTTGTTTGGCAACAATGGGAAAAGCCCTGATTCTTCTTTTGGATATCCGATAAAAAAGTGGAATTCTTTTGACTCAGTGCAATTTAACCCAACAATAGAGCTGAGGAATGGAACAGATGTGATATGGCAAATACCCAGTTTGCCAAAAGCAGTTCTCTTTGTGGCTCATGGATGCGATGGCAGAGCTGCTAACTTCTGGGACAGGTCTTCAAGCTGCCCTAATTGCATTGGTTTGCCTGAGGAAAGGCTGCTTGTTCTCCATGCTCTTGATCGTAAATTTGCCGTGATCACAATTTCAAGCGCAGGGAGATGCTGGACATTTGGGAAGGAAAGATTAATTGTTAAGAATATAATACAATGGTGGGCACAAACACATAATCTTGAATCACTTCCTTTTGTAGCCTTGGGGGCCTCTTCTGGTGGATACTTTGTCTCTGCACTCGCCACCAATTTGAGGTTCAGTAGCATAACACTTATGATTGCTGAAGGGAAGTTTGACCAAATGGACATCACTGTGAACTACCCACCTACTCTTTTTGTTCACATGCCTAAAGACTCATATAGGCAGCAAAAGATAAGTGAGTTTATAGAAGTTCTGAAGAACAAGGGCATTGATGCAGCAGAGGTTGAATGCATGGAGTTTCCTTTGTCACCAAGTTTCTTAGCTGATAGAATCCCAGGAATGAATCAAACTGTTTCTGCTAAGTTGTTTGAGCTATTTCAGGTTAAGAGTTTTGTTGATGGGAACGGATATATGAAGAAAGATGGGCGTGCAATGCGATGGAAAGAAGCTCTCCGTGAATGTAAGAACCTTGTGCTGGATAAGAGTATGGTCCAACACGTGCAGGAGGAACTCAATCTTGCATTTGCTTACCATGAAATGACTAGCCTGCAGTCTGAGCAAATATTTAAATGGTTTGAATCTCATTTGAACTAATCAACACTCTTTCTTGCAAGTCAGTTTCTTTTTTTCGACTTTGGAAGAGCGAAGAGCATTGCCTTCACTAGGAAATTCTCTCTTTGCCCAACATACCATTTAGAATTTAGCTTCATTTAGATTTCGAATCTTTGTTCTTGAAATTAAGGTTTTTTTTTAAGTTATTTAATATCTTTTCTATAAAAATACTAATTTTTATATTGGAAGGTTTTCGCATTCCCCCAATTAGAACTGTTTTTGAAGATACTCAAAAATTTTATTGTATGTATGTCTAGAGTTTCTTAAACTAAAAAGATAATATATTGATTAGCCAATATTTTAAACACTAAATAATTTTTATTTATGTATTTTGAATTTTGGGACATTAGAAAGTCTCTTTTACCCACTGTACCTTTCAGAATTTAGCTTCATTTAGATTTCGAATCATGATTCCTATATAATAATGGGCGTTCTAAATGAGAATTCAGTTCTTCCGACTATATTTAACTAATGACTTGAACAGTCATGGATGGAAGAAAACGAGTGGTTTACCGTAACGGATGTTTGCTGTGGCAACTTGTTTACCTACAAACATGTCGCATCATCTTAACTGAGACATGCGATCTGTTACCAAATTTGATGTTTTTAAGGTGATTTTTTCTGATTTTGACATATCATGTTAAAATTATCATAATGCATTTTAGCCTAGATGTATTTTAAAACACGAGCTTAACAACCTATTGTGAATCTCAATAATAAAAACTAGATGATGATAAAAATGGGATCTTATTATTTTAATTATTTATGTTTTTTTTTTAATATCTGATTGAATAATTTTTCTTCCAACTGTGCTGTTATCTTCAAATTGAAACGCAGAAACGAGTCTTTTCTTCATTCTTTCTTTCTAGTGACGATTTGAAGACCTAATCTTCAAAGTGGAAAAAAGAAAACAATTTGTTACAGTCAATCCAGATTTGTGCTCCTAAACTTTATCATTACCAACACTTCGGGTGATTCCATCAAATGTAGAGCTTATAAGAAAACGGATATTAGATGTGTGGTGTTGTTTCCATTAGAAACACTTTGTAATTGGAAGCTGGGAAAGCAGTAATTTTTCGTTGTCTCGGGATTTAAATGGAAGTCTATTTTGATAGCTGTCTGATCGGAAATGCTGGGTTGGGGAATAGCTATGCCTACTCTTGAATATCTTTGTTGAACAAATTCTTCTAGCTGGAAATTGCTGTGTATTCTCGGTACGAGTAATTATGAATTTCAACTAGATGGAAACACTTTTCCTGACTGATGATGCGTTTACTAGCTTTTGTTTTGCCCCACTGATGGAGCAGCTTGTGGTAGGTGCTTTACTATAAGTTATTCTGTTCTCAAATTGTCAGCATTCATGATTAAATACATCAAAATTTGAAAAACAATGCCAAATCAGTTAGCAAATGTGCTCTCTTATAGTGCATATGACGATCAATAACTACAGACGTGTATTGCAATTAGAAAAGGTATGGTGGCTCTGATGGATCTTAAAAGAAGAGGAAGGAGAAGATAGTGCAGGTTTTCCTGCGATAGAACGACTGTGTATTCCGAGTGTATGACCAAATAACTGTGATGAAATGAAATGATCATAAAGAACGTAGGTTTTCATTGACAATCGCGCCAGCCCAACGGGTGTGTATAGGCAGAGTAATGGCTCCCCGTGCATGGCAAGCACAAGCCATAGAAAATCAGCTGTTCTTTTTCCAAAAATCAAATCCCACTTCATTCGATCATCAAGATCTTATTAAGCCAAGCTTGCCAAAAAATCATGGAGAGAGCCTAGCAAAAACCTGTCATTGATATATTCCGCCATTGACTATCATCTCCATCACCAAATCATTCCAAGAGTCTATTGGCCCAGGCAAGCACCAATGTAAGCAATCATTCTGAACTTTAGCATTCTTATCCTCAGCAAATGGCTGAAACTGCCTGTATGGTCCTGGGTGCCCATCTGGTCTCAACAATGATAATCGAGTTGTATCCAGTAGTTTCAAAACCACCCCTTTGTCAGGTCCTAACGCTGCAGCCTTCGCAAACTCTTCCAGTTCAATATTACGCATTATCGTGTCTACGTCAGTCATATTAACCTCGCCTTCTTTGAAGGGCAACTTTCTATCGCAAGTACCCCCACTAAACCATTCTCCGTTCTCGAAGTGATCTGGCGTGGTTGTTCTAAGGAAAGCAAGAGTTTTGTGACCAGAGTTTGTGATGAAGTTAAAAATCAGCTGCATTGCTTTGCGATATGCATAATCGAACCCTAGCTCAGTCAAATTCTTTCCAGGGCAGTAATGGCAGCCTGTGACCACGTTGTTCTCGTGGTAGATGGCGGTTTTCAGGAACCATTTTCCTCCAGCAACTATTGCATAATCAAAATTCCTATATTGATCGGTCCATTTTTTATCAAGTTCATCTAGATGAAGCTGGATTTCTGAAGAGGAAACTCCGTCCATGTCTTCAAAAATATCTGCCTTGATAAGGAAGGGGGTCCAAATTACTGAAAGGGTGAAGTTGTGGGTTGGAAAGTGCCATATTTTCGACCTGTATTCCTCATCATGGTATGTTTCAACGGCTTGCTCCACCTATTGGACATAAATAACAAGCAATTGATCAAATATTGCCGATGCGACCAAATTTCGAAAACTGCCAGCAGAATACAACGCTGCAGCACAAAATCAAAATCTATGATGCTGCAGAACAAAAACAATTGCAGCAAGCTAGATCAAACATGCAATGCTGTGGTAGGTCATAGTGTATCCACCAAGACTTTTATTAAATGCAAGGGCAGTGGGGCCTCAATCTGGGATTCAAGCATAAAAAAACATGAACATGTCCTTACTCTTTGCATGGCCTATCAGTTTTCCGTTGAATCCCCAAGCTACTTCCTTTTCTATTCCTTTCCTGGACTATCCTTAAACCTAAATAGAAAAATTAGGCAAACAAATCATCACTTGGGATATATTTATTTTTTCCTATCGAGAACAATATATTTATTTTGTGCAAGACTTAGCTTGGATTAATGAGTTTAAATCAGGTTTTATTGTGTTGGTAAATATAACAACTACTAACAGTTGCCGATTATTGATTCCAAATAATTACATAGACTAACCAACAAGAATTGTGGATATATAAATGACTAAAATAGTTCAATGTCCTGAAAACGAAAATTGAAATCTTTCACATTTATGGTAGGCCAACCATCTCCGAAAAAGACAGGATAACCTCTTAATAGCGGTACTCTGACCATCAAAGTAGCAGCTGTATTCCACAATGAACTAAGATTGATGTTTGATTATTGATATCTATGTGATCTAGCTTCACGAGGAGAAAAAAAAGAAAGAGACAAATAACAAAAAATGCTTACAGCAGTGATATGAAGATTCGGAGTCCTCTACATGCTCTTGAAGAAGATGCAAAGTGTCTTTAACCATGACAGCCTCAAACTACACCACCTCAGTTCAATGCCTAGTTAAGTGGTTAGCAATCCTAATCTCACATGTGAAGTTGGCTAATGTGTAGCAATTGATATTGATTAATTAAACTTAGCTTCTACTCTAATTCTTTTGACTAGTTCAGTTTTCATAAGAAACAGCACATTGCATGTATTGATGATCTAAAGTGCTTCCTGATATCAATTCCTGACCAAGAAATTATTCGCGATGAAGTAGTAACCATCGAAAAACTTGGCCAAGCAAATGCCTACATGGTTGGCAACAAATCGAGAAATCAAATGACAGAACACAGAAAATTTCTTTAGGCTCTTAGTTTTACCTGAGAGAGAATGCAAAGCAATGACTGGACATGGTTACGTGAAATGGAATCACCAATGAAGGCCCATGACTTATTCCTCATCAGGTAAAGAAATTTTTTAGGATTAAACTTGGGGAGACTGCAGCCACGCGGGCTCCACCTCCAGTAGAGGTACCCTGAATCAGGTCTTCCATTTTTCATACAATTTTGATGGCCTTCTATCTGAAGGCAACTCTGATTAGTGTAAAACGGACCAGAAGGGTCCGGTATCCATTCTCCAGTAAACAAATCACACTTTCCTGCAATTACATGTGCATGGAAGAGACATCACTACACTACAAAGAGTGGCATAGGAGTATTAACTGGAAGTGAATGCTAATACAAAGACTAGACAGCAAACTAAATTCTATGAAATGGGAGCGCATGCCTTTAAGTGAAATAATAATAATAATAATTAAAAAAAGTATTGTGCAGATAGCAGAATACTAAACGCTATTTTGCATTATTCAGATTTAAAAACCAGACATGTTAGCCAGCACCTAAAAAATATTGACACTAAGAGGAAGTGGCTGAATTAAATGGTGAATGATCTATCTAATTTGACGGGTTCACCGGAAAAGACAGGATAAAAGAACTGCGACAGTAAATAGAATAAACAGATGTAATAAAAAACCAATGGCAAAAGAAAAGGATCGATCCAATCTTCAAATATTCGGAAAATGAAGATGAAAATGGGAAAAGAGAAGTTGTCATTGAATCACAAAACAAAGACTGTACACTGAATCCAGTTTTCGCATCCAAGAAAACCCACATCCTCATTTTGACAAATCTTTCTTACAATACAACCAATTCCTCGTTTTGATTAGAACTTTCATGTCCAAGCATGTAGAGAAAGAAAGGGAATAAAGATTTGGATACCTGATTGTGAATTTTGGCTTTTATTAGCTTCAAAATAATTAGAAGCTGGCTCTTCAGCAGGCAAAGAAGCCATTAAAGACTCTGGTTTAGTCTCTTTATTAGCTGGGACGGATGTCTCGACAACTGAAGAGAATCTGAATGAACCAGAGACTAATAAACGGAAAGCAAGACCCACCAAGAGAAATGAGACTGCAAACTTTATAATGACGCTGTTGTGTTTCGAGAGTGAAAATGGGTTCAAATCAGACCTCATTTCCTTCACCATTTGGCGTCAGAGAGGCCAACAAATTCTCTTTGAAGGCGAGGAAAAAAAACAGAAGGAGTGGAATCCGGTTTCCTCTACAGCCCAAATGGTGTTTTAGCGTGAAAAATTAATAATGGTTTGATTCTGATTTGATTTGTTTGGTGGCTCACAGAGCAGTGAGTATTGTTAAATGCA